TATATTTTTATAATTCATTTTATGATTACCAAAGATTCAATTTTGTTGTAAACTATATATAAACCAGGTAACTAAGGACTATAAGTAATGCAAAATATATATATTTTTTTAACTAATACTGCTTAAATTCGTGCAGTTTTTTTTCCTTAAGTACTCATTATGCTTGTGTGAAAAGTAAAATACCTGCGCATAAAGTTTAGTGTTAGAAAACAAACTAATTTTTAATATTTGCATTTAGGTTTGTTTTCCATACAGCCAAGGTGTACTTTAGATGGACAAGAAGCACGTTGTTTAAGGTGCCGCAGTCAAATAAAATATGTGCTTCCTCTAAATAAACACAGAGTGATACTATATGGTCACGGTTGGTATTGTAGTAAATGTACTGAAAATAACCACAATGGTTATTAACAATGGTTATATACAATATGTAGTGAGAAGATTTTAAGTATACAGTATGAAAATTTGTAAAATAATGAAAAAATCTATTAAAGTTCTATCTAAAATAATATTATTTTGATTAATTTATAAATATTTGTATTAATGAATGTTAAATTAACATTTTATTACATTGTCTGTTCATAATTTTATAGATTTAGTTATTTTACATTTTATATTAATATGCGTAAGGAAGTCGATAATATTATTTTTATTTCTAAAATTTTTTGATCGCACTCTTTCTCTCGTCGATTGGCTATCAGATGATTTTGACATGGAGATGAAAAAACTCGAATTGTACTCCATACACTATAGCTTTTTTATTTGTATTATTTTGTATATAATACTCGTATATCAAGATTTTAGTAAAGACCATTAGATATGCATAAATGTTTTCTTTTGGAATAATATCTTGTCGAATTTTTTTACCTGTAAATAATAACAAAGACCTAAATTTTAATTTCCTAAACTTGTAGAAATAATTATTTATTTTCACAAAGTTTCCAATATATAAAATGAAAATTGTACGCTTAAAAAAATTATGTTGGGACCATATCTCTAATCGAAGCATATTTGACCGTCAATGATAATATCATTACATTAAAACAAATTAACTTTAATAATAACCAAAAATTTGGTTTTATGAAACTATAAAAAAACCTTTTATATAATTTAATTTTCTATATCACTGTGATGCTGTCATTATTATTTTAATCTATTGTAGTTATAATTTTTTTATTTAAATTATTATGTGATTTATAGTTTTATTTTTTTCATTTTGATGCTTTTAACTTTTAAAAGTCAAAACATATACATAAATTATAAGAAATTCTAATACATATTTTTAAACAGAATAAATAAAAATACAATTTATTGCTATAATACAGAATTGTTATTAAAAAAAACGATTAGTAAAGCTAAAACATACTTATTTGATAAGTGACGCATGGAAATATTAAGATTTAATATTAAATCTTTTAATAGATTTATATTGATCCTTTAGATATTATTGTACCTAAATAAAAATAAATTTAAGAATAAAAAAATTTTAAATCATATTTTTGCGAACTGTTTTGTTCATAATAAATAACATTAGCTTATATTAACATATCAAAAATTCTTTTATATAATTATTTAAATCTATATCAAATAAAAGATAATTCAATGTACTTTTAGATGAAAAAAGTAAAATTATTTCAATATCTGGATGTTATTGGGCATTAAAGCAATTTGACATACAGTATTGGATAAAGATAGTCCATTTTGAACTATTTTTCTTATCAACAAAAACAGCTACAATATTCAAAAGTAAATAAATTTGCAACTTATTTAATTTATCTAATTTTAAACCATAAAAAGAAAAATAATCATCAATATAGAAAAATATACTAAATAAATTTAATAATGTTTGTACAGAATTATTTTATTAATACGTGTCTATTTCAGGAATTAAGTAGNGTAATATTATTGATACGTGTCTATTTCAGGAGTTAAGTAGAAGGATCATATATAAGCACCATACTCTGGGTAGAGACATGAGATGACTCTAACCATCTATTTGGTTTTTAAAAAGAACATAATTATGTATCACAAGACAGGTTCAAAATGAAATGACAGTGATTTGAATCACTGTCAGCTTCTGTAATAAACTTAAAATAAAAAGAAAGAAAAGAAAAAAGAAAGGGAAAGTATTATATGAGAGTGAATAAAAAGAAATTAGGGTTGCTTATTAAATTATTATAATCATTATTTATTATAAGTTTTTGTAATTTTAATGTAGATTTAATTGTCTTCAATTTTATTTAAATTAATTTTTTTATTAATTATTTCTCTCATTAATTATTAATGGTTTATTACGCAATAGATTGTTGGAAGTTCGAAAGCATAGGTTAAATTGTACTTACCTTACGTCCTATGTAATACGATAATATTTCAAGTAATCCTGTGTTGATTTCCGCATTAAACGTACTACGTATACGATTTACACTACTCGTCATATAGTCTATGTAATTAATTATAAAAACGATTCAAGACTTTAAATAATATGATTTAATTACACAAAGTCTACAACTGGTCTTACTTGTGATTGATTCTAAACACTCTGTATTTTATTATAAATACAATTTTAATTTTTTTTTACTTATTGATTTTTTTACGTCTGTTGAATAAGTATTTTTTAGAGAGTATATTTTATTGAGAGATCGATACCAATATTTCTTAAATTTTCCTCTGGCCTGGCCAAAACAAGATTCAGAAATATCTATATCTATGTAAAAAATTTATCAAGGCAGAATTGTGGTGGCCCAATGTGTCCCGGTGCTAAAATAAAGCACCTTGAAAGGATGCGGCACAATAATCACCAAGACAAAAATTAAACACTAAAAAATATATTTGTAAGTTTCTTTACGCTGTCTGCCGGCGCGATGTTTATTAAAACAAAGACATTAGTAACGAAACTAGCTACCCAATAAATATAGGATTGCAATACACTTAGTCAAATAAAATTACCATTAAATAAATTTAAATCTCAATTTAAATTGAGAAGATTGTGACCTTTAGCTCTGTCTGCCGGCGCGATGTTTGTTAAAACAAAGACATTAGTAACGAGACTAGCTACCCAATAAGAAAAGCTCACAATAAATTTTTATAATTAAATAAAAATCTAAAGTTAGGTTGGGTTTATTATTAAAATAANGGTTAAGTTGAGTTTATTATTAAAATAAAATAATTTTAATAAGATGTAATGTTTAAAATATTATTTGATATTTATTTCCACAATAAGAAAAAAATAAAATATTATTAATTGAATAAATTAAATTAAATTAAAAGATTCACCAAAACAAAATTCACTTTAAAATTTCTAAGTGTCATTTCGTTTTAAAGAAAAATATTCTAAGTCCAAATTAATTAAAAATCAACAAAGTCCCGGAGAGTGAAATCTTGAGTAGAGTGTCGTAGATTTTGTGTATTTTAAAATCGTCAAAAGAACTGGTTTAGATGGGGAAAAATGGCTTTTTATAGTGTGAAGGGGGTAGCCCAGCGATCTCTACCGTGATCCTAGAAGCTGAGGCTTTGTATTCTAATTGGTTAATTAAAATGGGGTTCCAGCGTGTAGGCGTTACTTAATAATTTCAACAAGAGGGAGATTTTATCGTATAGTTAAAAGGTTATTTTGTATTTTAAATAAGAGAACCCTGTTTTTGTGATCTTGTATAATCATAATATGTGACATACATGAACAAATGATAACATCATATTATATATTAATATTATATGTAATAATATAATATTACAGTTTGTATTGAATCTGACATTTTTCTGGAAATCAATATTAGAAAAATATTGAAATTTTTATTTAATTATGACAATAAGAAATGTGAAATTATTAATCCTAACAAGTTTTCTCAGCCTGTATAACTAATAAGTAAATTTTTGGAATATTATTGAATAATATAAACATTTTTTTTTTAACGGAATTATTTTTAAAAAGCAAAATTATCATAAATAAAACAAAATAAATTAAAATGATTTACTAATTATAAAAATTTAAATATTAAAAAGTTAATACATAAACTGTTTTCCAATATATAACGTATTTTTAATATGGACTCGTTCTAAAAAATATTTTTGACCGAGGTTATTTAAAACAATTAAAAATATTATTTGTAAAGCTTTTTTAAAACATAAATTATATAAATAATAGTTTGAAATCTAAATTTAATTTACTAAACGAATTTAATCTAAATTCTTAAATATATTCATTTGCGTTTGCTTCAATGCATAAATTGTGTTACTTTTTATTTACACACAATTAGAGGAGACAAGGATAAGTTGTCATCCTTAAGCTCTAATTAAATCTCAAAGAAAATATTCACCATACAATTTTATTAGAAAACTTCTTGATATATTTAAAACAATTGATAAAAAGTTCATTATTTAAAACTGATTATTAATTAATTTAAAAAAGTCAATTTCTAATACTTTTTTAACGGGAATGTTAAAATTCTATTGTTTAATTCAAGTATTCCTAATAAATAACTAAATATATATAACCTAATTAAAAGGGAGTCATCTCCTGCAAAACTTAAATGTCAACTCGTCGCACTTTTTCTGATTGAATTATATATTTATGTATTTATCAATGTCGTACCGATATTATTCATATAATATACAAACAGTTTTTTATATGTCAAAATATAGTTTATAAAATTACTATTTCACAATACGTAATTAAAAAGTAATTTTTTTTTAATAATTACAAATTTCATTAGATTTTAAATTAGATTGGTATCAAATCAGTTAAGACAAAATAAGATGTTTAAATTAGGTACATAAGTAAAATAGTATTTTATTTTTAATTTAATGATCATTTGCTTTTTTTAATCAATCATTCCATTAAAGAAAATTCGTATTTTTGCGTGAATAAATAATTAATAAATTATATTTTAAATTACAATTGTTCATATATTATTAAAGTACACAATAAAAGTTCATTTTTGATCATGTTTTGAAATACGCTTGTAAGAACTTATAAATACACTTGTTAGAATTATTCCATTAATTCAAATTTCTTTAGTTAGTATATAGTTTATTTCAAAACTGATTAATTGTTATTGATAAAATATTTTGAAATTTAAAAATTGTTAAATATTCTTTTAAAATAATAATATGTTACTCAATAAATGTAAGTTAATACTTTTTTTTATTCAAATAATCAACCAATCAATATGTGTTGATCTAAATAACATTACACGGGAGGACATAGACACTCTTGAAAAGGAATACAAAGATATGAAATTTGTCAAGCTTATGGAACATCCTTATTATATAAAATCACGCAATGAGGATAACTTTTGTCCAGTGCCTTACAGTCACTTAGTAGATTATCATGACATTTCTTATGAAGGTATAAATATAATAAATAGAAGTTTGCAGGATGTGGTTTCTAACTGTGTGACAGGGGGAAAATATAAATTGGCTTATACGATTTTTTTGAACGCTATTGAAAGTATGGTCATTACATACATGTATCGGTTCTGCGAGTTTGCAATAGAAATGAATAAAAAACATTCTGAAATATCATTTTACTTAAAAGTATTAAGTAATAGACTTGCTGAACTTATACCGATAATTAATAGAGAATGGATTTCTCCTGAACCGCATGAATGTATTTTAGATGTTTACAAAAGTCACAAATCTGAGGAATACAAATTTAATGAAGTAAACACAAATTACAGAAATGCTTTATTAATCTGCATGGAGTTAATGAAAGATAAAGTGCACTTTTTAAAAGAACCTAAAAAAGTAACAATGAATGAATTGACTGTAAATCGATTGAAACAATACCAAGATATGAGTAATCGAGTTATTAGTCGTCATTTGACTTTAAAAAGTGGTCCTACTTACAAAGATATAACTGGAGATTTATGTAAGAAAGAAAGTTTTTTTTTATTTTTCAAAATCACAAATTATACTATAATTATGTAATTGGTAAAAAAATACGTTTGAGAATCTACTCTTCAAAGTTGTCTGCTATAGTTTTTAATTAGTTTTAAAAGCGTTAAAAAAATACTTAAAATGCTTTTCAACTGAAGATTAAAATTTAACTTTTAGAAATTATTACCGATAAAAGTATTTAACAATTGTTTCTTTTTTTTTTTCTGTAGATCAAACCTCTTGTACAAGCTGTAAGGAAGAAAACACTGGTACCACTAATGAAATTTACATTTGGTCACCATGTGGACACGGCTGGTGTTGTGATTATTGTAATGACAAATTTCGTAGAGGCAAATTGTCAAAATGTCCAGTATGTTTTCAAAAGTTTATAAGTACTCAAGATCTAAATATACGAACATCTGTGTCAATAGTTACTGAAAGTATATATATTATAATTACTTATTGAAACATTAATGAAATAAAATATTAGAAGCGTTTTTAGCTTCGATGCGAAGCTGAGAAGGTATTGGTTTTACTAAGATGTGTTTTTTTTTTGTGTCTGTTACCACTTTTTCTCAGCTCACACCGAACCGATTTCTTTCAATGAAACGTCAAAAGATCACAAATCGTATCTAATCGAAGACATTACCCTTAAAAATTGAAAAAAATTCCCTCGTTCCCCGTAAATGGGGGAAACCTCCAAAAAAATTACAAATTTAAAAATCGCTAATTTCCGAAATTTTTTCAATTTTTTTACTAAAAACTGCCATAACTTTTTCAAAAATGAACATATCAATATAATTCATTTTTTTATAGATGCATGATGTCATTACCTATCATTTGGTATATTTTTTTTTATATCTGACCTTTAACCTGCCCACAAGGGGGGATTTAAAATGACAACTTTTTCACAAAAAATTAATTTTTTTAACTTAAATTTTGAAAATGTTCCGGAAAGTCTGACACTTTTATATATATCTTAAATTAAAGCTAATGTAATATGCTTTATCATGAAAAAAAAAAATTTTGGACTTTATCTTATCTTCATGGTAAAAATGGCTATCGAATGCTATTTTTGAGTGAAAATTTTCGATTTTGTATTTTCCATTTTTAACTTTATTATGCTATAACTTTTTGAAAAATGTATGAATCATTACAATTTTTTTATGAGAAGTAGTATTTATATAGATCTTTCATTCGACATACTGTTTTTTTAAATCGGACCATTTCCCTAAATACAGGGGGGATTCNTAGTCGGACCATTTCCCTTAATATAGGGGGGGATTCAAAACATAAAAATGCATATAGAAAGTAGAACTTTTTCAACTTAACTTTTGGAAGTGTTCCGGAAGGTCTGACACTTTTATATATATCTTAAATTAAAGCTAATGTAATATACTTTATAATGGTAAAAAAAAATTTCGGACTTTATTTTATCTTCATGGTGAAAACAGACATTAAACTTAATAAAAAAAATACGATTTTTGTAAAAAAATTCTTTTTTATATTTTTAACTTTATAATGCTATAACTTCTCGAAAGATGTATGGATCAATATAATTCTTTTTTTTGTAGATGCATGATGTCTTTACCTATCATTTGGTATATTTTTTTTATAAATCTGACTTTTTACCTGCCTACAGGGGGGGATTCAAAATGACAACTTTTTCACAAAAAATTGACTTTTTCAACTTAAATTTTGAAAGTGTTCCGGAAAGTCTGACACTTTTATATATATCTTAAATTAAAGCTAATGTAATATACTTTATCATGGAAAAAAAAAATTTCTGACTATATTTTATCTTCAAGGTGAAAATAGCTACCAAATGCTATTATTGTGTGAAAATTCTCAATTTTATTTTTTACATTTTTAACATTATAATGCTATAACTTATTGAAAAGTGTATTGATCAATATAATTTTTTTATGGGAAATANTTTTACATTTTTAACTTTATAATGCTATAACTTATTAAAAAGGGTATTGATCAATATAATTTTTTTATGGGAAATTCTATTTTTTAATAATCCCTTTTTCATTCGACATAATTTATCTTAATCAGGATATTAATAAGGAACTAGCAGTTTATGAAGCTTTTGGAATAATCCACCAATTTTTTAAAATTNTGTTTATGAAAATTTTGGAATAATCCACCAATTTTATAAAATTAAACACTATATAAAGATTTGCATCGAAGCGTTTTTTTTTTTGATAGTGATTTTAATCACTGTCAGATATCATTACTTGATCCANGATTTTAATTACTGTCAGATATCATTATACTTAATCCAACTATGCCACGTCACCACTGTGCCGCGACCCCCCTGTGCTGGGTTTTTTTATATTGGATTTTATGTTTGGTACATTAGCTTCAGTGGTCTAAGAAACATTTTTTTTTGTTTATCACATAGTCTTACTAACGTTAAAGTTATATACTTTCAATGATAATAATTAGCAAATTGTTGGTGATAAAAAGCCCCTTTACCTCCCTCTTTAGAAAACTAATTACTTTACACTTAACTGAAAACTTTACTTAGTAAGCAGTTTAGGAAATTTTAATGGAAATATTTCTAAATATTATCAGTAACAAATTTTTCGAAAATAATTTTAATTAAAATTATGTTTATTTTAAATAGTATTTTTAACATTTCTGAAGGACGATAAATTATTGTTGTTTTAATTCTTTTAGTTTTAAATTTAGCAGAAATCAATTTATAATCATATAAAATTTTTTGTTTTTTCAATAGGTAAAGAAATAGATTGCGAATAAAAATTATTTGAAATTTTATGTCTTATTCATAATAGAAGAGTATGAAGGTAGATGTTTTAAAAAAAATTGATATAAAGAAAGCTATTTTTTTTTTCATTTATTGTCTATGAAATGTGTCAGTTAAGTTGATATGACAAATCTAATAACTATTTGCTAAACAATTTTTTCTTGCAACAGATATTGCCTTCTTGTTTTTATGCTCAAAATATATATAAAACTATAATTCACTGATATAAATATAACATTTTATGAATTTGAATTGTTGAATAGCTGTACTTTTCCTGTTGCCGCCTGGGCTGTTCTAAAAAATCCCAATTATAAATGGGGAACAGAACTTGGCCGTACGGCTTAATATAGGGGCAACTAATAATCAACAAAAATTTCCTATACAATTTAGAATTTGTTAAATACAAAATATTTTTTGTTTATCCAAAATAGGATTGGTTAACTTAATAAATAAAAAGAAATAATTTAAATAACAACATTAATTTTTATTATTGATGAATTAAATAATTAACAAATATAAACACCCATATTACTCATATTCAGTTTTTAATTTTGTTTGAATAAATTGAATAAAATGAACTACCATTTATAAAGGTGATATGCCACCTGTAGCTTTATTGTAATAATGTTATAACCAATAAAAAATAAAACAGAATACAACTATACGAATTTACAATAATAATATGAACAATATATTTTAAAACGAAAATTGAGCAAAGTTTTTACTGATTAATACCAAAACAACAATTAATTCAAATGAAAACCAATGTAACTTAAAACTAAACTGTATAATAATAACAACAGGTATATACACTACATTTTGAATAAAAAACCGACTGAACCAACACGGGCCGCTGATAAGGCGTCCTAATAGCTGACCACACCCAACCAGTGCAGCTCTCACATTTGGTGCGAACATTTCCTAATATTATCATGGAAGTATCAACATCATTTGTAAGAAAAGAGTTTTAAAAAGGCTATTTAGAGTGGCTGGTTATAAAAATATTTTGTTAACATACCTTAAGGTATGAAGTCGATTTCTTCCCATTTTATATAATTTTCCATTCCAATATATTTTAAATATTCAGTAGAGAAATTAAAAATTACATCCAAAAAAAAAATTATTTCTATTCTCTATATAATCTGATGTGATAAAATTACAATTTTATGTGAAAAATAAATAAATAATGTAATACATATTTATATTTTAAAATAACGTCTTATTAATTTTTTAAATATAATAGTTATTATAGTTAAAAACTTATTTTTAAAACTTTTAGTTTTCTTAATACGATTATTGATGTGCAAAAAATATTCCCCTTAAAATTTTATCATAAACTCCTTTAAACTATTTTACTAGGAAAGGAACTAATTTTCAATATTTGTATTTAGAATATGTGCCGTTGCAGGCAAGATGTATCTTAGATGAACGAGAAGCGCGTTGTATAAAGTGTCGCAGTCAAGTAACAGATGATAATGATGATGATNATGAACGAGAAGCGCGTTGTATAAAGTGTCGCAGTCAAGTAACAGATGATGATGATGATGAACTGTCAAAGAGTTACATAATGATACCATGTGGTCATGGTTGGTATTGTGAAAATTGCATTGAGGACGAAAAGTGTTCAATATGTAAGCACAAAAAAACAGATAAATTGTGTGTACAATTTAAAAAAAATGAATAAATCTATTGATGTTATTTTTTTAATTAATATTACTTTGATTAATTTTTTTTTTATTATTTTTTTATTTATGAAATTTACAATCTGCAAAATAAAAATTTTACAATAAGTAAATAGTTTAAAAAATATACATATAAACAATACTTAATATGAGTAGCCTGTGAGGTCGCTCTCATTGAAGTCGCCTGCTATTGAAAATTAATATTTAAATTAATTGCATTATATTGACCATAATAGTAATAACACTATACGTATAATGGTATAGTAGTTTGTACAATAATTAGAAGTTGAAATGCGTAACATTAACAAGATTAAATAATTTAAAATAATAATAGATCTCTGCACCATTCTCTCTTGAGACGCCTTACTGGATGCCAGGCAAGACGTTTGCGCTCAGCATTTGTATAAGTCTGTTGGAGTTGCATTTAAGTTTCATCCAGAATCTCTTATAATACATTTTTGCCATTTCTTTATTTGTGATGTAATGTAGTTCCAAGTGTAGGGCTATGTTTGTGATATATCAGGGCACCCCGGTTATGATTCTTAAGCAGATGTTTTGAAAATTTTAGATTGTTCTCTGGTTAGAACTTTTTGCTGATCCCCAAATTATTATCCAATAAGATCATAGTGGTTGAAGTAATGTTATGTACAATATAATTTTATTTGACAAAGAAATATTTGATTTAAGCAAAGGTCTTTGTAAATGAAGTATCGAGTTTAGTTTCTTCCTTTTATCTTTTAAATGAGGACCCCAAGTTAACCTTCGGTCAAAGATTTACCCTAGGTATTTAACCTCGGTTAAATGAGTAATAATAATGTTATTAATAGTAACTGATGGGCAGTCATAATTTCTAAGAGTGAATGTAATGAAAGAAAACTTCGACTCATTTATTTTGTCTCACCAGGTCTTGAACCAGAGCGAAAGCATATCTAGATGTATTTGTAACTGTTGATTGGCAACTTTATGGTCTAATGAAGAAGATATTAAGGCTGTGTCATCAGCATAGGTACCAAGTACTGTTGTATCCGATAAAGTTAGATCAGATGTATATACTGTGCACAAGAATGGTGCAATATCGCTTCCTTGAGGCACACCAGCATATATTGGGTATAGTGGGGAGTGTTGGAGATTATGACGGACTTTGAAATAACGGTGTAGCAGATATGATTTGAGTATGAGGTAATAAGGAGCTGAGAAAATGTTTTTTAATTTGAATAGAAGTCCTTCATGCCAAACAGAGTCAAAAGCTTTTTCTGATTAACAGTTCGTCCGTTACAGCTTATTAAAGTTAAGTTCCTATTGTTATTTTACTGTATTACATACAGAAATCATTATTTTTATTTGTAAGTCTTACATTCTTTATACTTTGCTATTAATAATACACCGAAAACACGATTTAAATCTATTATTGTTTTCACTATTTAGTGCGTCACTATTTTTTATATCTAATTTACCTATCATAACTTCATCAATAAAAATTGTTTTATACAACAGCAAATAAAATTTATTATATTTAATATAATAAAAGTTCTCATTTAAGAAAATTATTAATAAGTATTTTATCCCCGAAGGGACAAAAAAATAAAATGATTTCACTACATATTAATGTAGAAATTTTTGAACTTGATAGTTTTCTCTTCAAAAAAATTTAAAATTCTAAATAGTTTTTGAGAAAATGAGTGTTTTACCAGATTTTGATCACCTGTATTATTTACAGTTTTATTTTTTCCCTTTAGAAGGTTTTAACTTTTAAAAGTCATAACACATACATAAATTATATGAAAATGTAATATATATTTTTAAACTGAATAAATAAAATTACAATTTAATAGCTATAATACAAAATTGTTATTTTGAAAAAACGATAAGCAGAACTGATACATCCTTTTTTTAATATTTTACGCATGATTAAAACCTATATTAGACCTTTTAATGTTTAATATTACTTGTAAAATTTTCGCAATGAAATATTAATAGATATATATCATACATTATATACATTTGTTAAATAATGTATAAATCTATTAATGTTATGTCTTTTGGAATTAATATTACTTTGATGCATTTCAAAGTAATATTAAACATTTCTTTTGTTCCTTAAACATATAACAAGTTCCTTATTTGTACAAAATTACCTTTTTAAATAATGCCATTCAATATTAATCATTATGAAAACATGATTAAGTGACTATGATGAAATATTAATAGATATATAGATATTTAGATATTAATGTACCATATTAAATTAAATTGAGGTACAAAAATATTTTATAGCACGTTTTACATAAATTACACTAAGTTCATTGATTATTTTAGAAGGTATATTTCAATTTTAGTGTAATTATTTGTATTAAAATGTACAAATGATTTTTGGTCTGATACAACTGAGTAATGAAGTTTAATTTCATTTTAAATAAGTCGGCAAATATTTTTAGAGATTCGATTTTTTTGTTTGTATAAACCAATATATGTATATTAGGCTTCACCTATCTAGGGCTCTTTGAGACAACCTTACGGATAGTATAATCAGTTGTTGTATTCATTATTATATCATACAACATTTAATTATTCTTGAATATGTTCTATTTTTGTTTCTCTAAAAAATACTTCGACAGATTTAATAAAAATTATTGATAAAAAAATATATTCATGCTATTTTTTTTGCAACTTAAGTAAATATAAAAAAGAATAAATTTCAGTTGTTGCTGTATCTAAAAATATACGTGTATTGTATTATTAAAGGATTTATAATTTTTTTTGAGGAATAAAATTTAAACTACTGAATAATCTTTTTATTATTTTTATATAGCTGTTTTCACATTTTGTTTAAATAATAATCAAGACTTAATTTGTAGATTTAATAATTTTTTATATTAATTCTGCTCAATAACTTTTAAATAAGTAACCTAGTAATATCTTTGCATTAAAACGAATTAATCTTAATAAAAACCAAATATTTGGTTTTATAGAACTGTTGAGGGGTGAGCGGGAATAATATTAAATTAATTAAAATTATTCGTACGCACAGTTTTTTAGTTTATTATTAATAATACAAAATATATCAATAATAGAATATGATTGTAATTAATATACAGAGTGATCGAAATCTGTTAAGACACTTATTTTCTCAGAAACTATTGAGAATTAAAAATTTTTGTAAATAGAAAAATTATTAAGTTTATAAAACTCTACAATAATATAAAGTTAAATAATTTTTTTTTTTATGCCTTCAGGGATAAAAATGTTTATTTATAATTTTTTTTAATGGGAACCACTATTTTTGATTTGATAATATGATAGAAAAAAAAATTTACAAACAATTGTGTTCTTATAATTTTTTTTATCCGAACAACCGTTTACGTTTTATAATTGTTTAAGATTTTGACTTCCAGAAAAAATATTGTCATTTATTACGTTTCATAATATCGGTGGAAGTGCAATAATACTAGTATTTTTTGTTCATAATTATTTTAAAAATTATTTTTAACTTTTTAGTTTAATGTGCTTTAAAAGCGTGTTTTTTAGTTTTTTTAAATTATATTTATTTTATATCCTTTAGTCTTACAAAACTATAGACTTAGCTATTAATAATACACCGAAAACCCGATTTGAATCTATTATTGTTATCACTCATTTAGTGCGTAGTAAATTTTTATAGCTAATTTACCTGTCATAACTTGATCAATAAAATTTTGTTTATGCAACAGCAAATAAAAATAATGACTTCTGTATTTAATACAGTAAAATGACAATAGAAATTTGGCCTAAAATCACATAACTTTAACAAGCTGTAACGGACGAACCGTTAATCAAATAAAAAAAATTATAAGAACAAAATTGTTTGTAATTTTTTTTTTCTATCATATTATAAAGGTAAAAATAAGGGTTCCCAATTAAGAAAATTATAAATAAAGGTTTTTATCCTTGAAGGGATAAAAAAAATAATGGTTTAACTACATATTATTGTAAAGTTTTTTGAACTTGATATTTTTTTTCTATNAGGTTTTTATCCTTGAAGGGATAAAAAAAATAATGGTTTAACTACATATTATTGTAAAGTTTTTTGAACTTGATATTTTTTTTCTATAATAAAATTAAAAATTCTCAATATTTTCTGAGAAAATGTGTACTACCAGATTTCAATCACTCTCAAAGGGCGCTACGCCCGTGTGGATGTGCCGGCAAAGCTGGCCCCGCGCCTGGCAGGTCTCGCCCGTATCCGTGTGGGATGGGTCACGTGTAGACTGAGGATCCTTGGCGACAAGGGTCCGAGGTGCTACAAGTGCCTTGATCACGGTCACGTGGCGCAGACCTGCAAGGGACCGGACAGATCCAAGGGGTGCTTCTCCTGTAAAAAGGAGGGGCACCAGGCCAAGGACTGTCCGGGGCTGGGGCCGGCCTCAAAGGCCGTGAAGTCAAAGGGGGGGCCTGGAAAGAAGGCTCCCCCTGTGAAGAAGAAAGGGGGAAAGGCCGAGGGGTCTCCCGGAGCGCAGCCCGCTAGTGGATGAGATTCCTCCAAGTGAATCTCAACCACTGTCGGGCCGCTCAGGACTTGGTCCGGCGGGCGGCGTACGAGATGGGCACCAACGTGTGCATCGTCTCGGACCCGCACGCCGGATCGGTCCGGGACTCTGCCGGCTGGTTCTTGGACCGGTCCGGCAGAGCGGCGATCGGCGTGATGGACCGCGGCCTGACGGTCGCGGACATCGAGTCGGGCGACGGTTACGTAGTGGCAAGGATAGACGGCATAGACGTCTTGAGCTGCTACGCGCCGCCCAGCTTGCCGATCGCCGGACTCCTCGGGTCCGTGTCCTCCTGCCTACGGGCCAGGAGGCTCGGGCGGCCGCGCGACGGCCGAGGGGAGCTCGTGGCCGGGGATTTTAACGCTCACTCCCCGGTCTGGGGGTCGGCGGACACGAATCAGCGTGGCGAAGAACTGTTGGACCTGATGTCAGCCCTCGGGCTGGTGTCGGCCAACAGGGGATCCACCCCGACGTTCGAGGGCCACTCCTCGAGCTCGGTGGTGGACGTCACGCTGGTGTCCCCGTCGCTGCACCCGCACGTGACCGGCTGGTC